TATTGAAAAAAAAAGTTTGTTGTTCTCAGACCCAGAGAGAAGGAGGCATGCCACACTTTAGGGGCCACACAGGGAGGCATCAGGGTCAGACAGGAGGCAGAGCAGAAGGGGAAATGTGGCTAGAAGTCTTTATTGTGGTTTCCACAAGAAGGAGTGGGCAAGGCAGGGTAGGCAGGCTTCAATTGTCTAGTTTGAAATAGCTCATCAGGATTTGGAACTGAGGGCCTGTCCCTTGTTGTGTGGTACCTGGCCCTGGGGAGGTTAGGGCGGTAAAGGAGTGGGTTGAAGTTAGGGGTTCTCAGTTGCTTCCTTTGCATTTGAAAGGCCTCCCGGGGTGAGTTGTTTACTATCTCTAGGAACTGGCTAATCCTGGTAGGGGCAACCTTGCAGGATCAGCAAGCATCAGAATACAGAAAATAAAAGACTTGATTAATTTCCATTTTTGCCCTTTCCCTCGATCTTCTTTGCTAGTGCCGTCCCTCCCAGAGACACATTGGAATCCCCGACATCTCAATCCTTGGACGCTTTTTCTCTCTCGTGTGTCTCTTGTGGTGATGTCATACAGCTCCCTGGCATTAAGTAACATGTAGCCATTGAGGACTCCCAAATTTCTCTCTACCCCAAACTCTAGACTGTTATCCAACTGCTTACTAAACATCTTCATGTGAATGACTAGAGTCTCAAACCATGTACTGATTTCTGCTCCTTAATCTGTTTTTCTCCATCTTCTCCAGTTTAAAGTTAGCACTTTGTTTCTCCTAGAGCTTCAGCCTGAGGGGTAGCCCAACGGTCTTCCACACATTTAGTGGCCCACGGAGCTGCTCTCAAGAAACATAGGCTGTGGACGCCATTTTGGTGCTCTCCCTCTGCCTTGCTTCCACTCAGCAGTATGATCCAGAAGAAAGATGATATGGTCATCTGGAGCCCAGATTTTTGTGACCAACCCCAGAGAACACCTCCAGATTGCCTGGCCTTGGTAGCCAATAGGACTTACAGTTCCAGCCCACAGGACTGTATTATTTGCATATATCACAAGTTGCTGCCTAAGGATCTGACTTTCAACCAACCTGAATCTAGGTGCTAAGATCCTCCTCTTTGGGCTACTGACAGGTCTTGGCATATCCTCCACTGCTGGAAGCTATTAAAAATAAAATCGACTGCTTAGATAAGCACAAAGGTTTGCAGGACAACCAAGAACTGAGGCACGGTTGGAGATCAAGTTTCATTTCCTACATAAGATCAGTTCTTCAAGACTAGGAGAGGGAGTTGTTTCATCTACTGTGTAGAAACACAGAGAGTCAGGCAAAATGAAGTAACTAAGGAATATATTCCAAAGTCTTCAATAAATAACGTCGGAAATATTGGACAGCCATACACAATAGAATGAAACTGGACCACTCTTTTACACCATGCACAGAAATTAATTCAAAATGGATTAAAGACTTGAATCTAAGACCTGAAACCAAAAACGTCCTAGAAGAAAACCTAGGTGAGGAGCTCCTTGACATTGGAGTTGGTGATGATTTCTTAATCTGACACCAACTAAAACCAAAAACAACAAAAGCAAAAATTAAACTAAAAAAGTATCAAACTAAAAAGCTTCTGCACAGCAAAGGAAACCATCAATAAATTTAAGTCAACCTGCTGAATGGGAGAAATATTTGCAAATCATATATCTGATAAAGGGTTAATATTAGTCCAAAATACCTAAAGAACTCATAAAACTCAATAGTAACGCGCACGCACACACACACACACACACACACACACACACACACACAGTCAAAATAAAAATGGATAGAGGATCTGAATAGATATTTTTCAAAAAAAGACAAATAACCAACAGGTTCATGAAAAGATGCTCAACATCAGTAATCATCAGGGAAATGCAAATCAAAACCACCATGAGTTATCACCTCACACTTGTTAGAATGGCTAGTATCAAAAAGATAAGAGATAACAAGTGTTGGTGAGGATGTGGAGAAATGGAAACCCCTATGCACACTGGATTCTAAGTTGGTACAGCCACTGTGGAAAACAGTGTGGAGGTTCCTAAAAAAATGATAAATAAAAAATAAAACTACCATATGATCCAACAATTCCACTTCTGGGTATTTATCTGAAGAAAATGAAAATGCTAAGACAAAAAGGTATATGTACCCCATGTCTGTTGCAGTATTATTGCAGTATTATTTACAATAGCCAAGATATGAATCAACCTGCGTGCATGTGTGTATGTGTGTGCATGTAATGGAATATTACTCAGCCAAAAAAAGAATGAAACTTTGCTATTTGCAACAACATGGATGGACCTCAAGAGTATTATTACACTAAGCGAAATAAGTCAGAGAAAGATGAATGCTGTATGGTTTCACTTATGTGTGGAATCTAAAACAAATAAACCAAGCTCATAGATACAGAGAACAGATTGGTGGTTGCCAGAGGTAGGGGTTAAGGGGGTAGGAGAAATGGGTAAACTGGTTTTTTTTTTTTCTAGTTTTTGAAAAATTGGAAGAAAAAATAGGACTCCATAGAGAAAGGTTAATTGCATGCTTGGGCAGCAGAGACATGAAATCAGCTTAAGGCAACTTGTGCAGAAAGCAAACAAGATTCCCAAGATTAATAGGAATGTGGGAAAAGCAAACAGAGGCTACCTTGAAGGGACTTCTAGTGGCTAAAATTACAGTGATTTAGACTATAAAAGAACAATTATTGGGGCACCTTGGTGGCTCAGTTGGTTAAATGACTGCCTTCTGCTTAGGTCATGATCCCAGGGTGCTGGGGTTGAGCCCGCTTCAGGTTCCTCGCTCAGCAGGAAACCTGTTTCTCCCTCTCTCCCTACCTGGTATTCTGCCAGCTTGTGCTCTCTCTCTGTCTGTGTCAAATAAATAAATAAACTCCTTAAAAAAAAGAACAATTATTATTTTTTTTAAAGCCCTCAAAATGGATCAGGGACCTAAATATAAGAACTAAAACTATAAAATACTCAGAAGAAAATATAGATGTAAATCTTTGTAACCTTGGGTTTGGCCATGGTTTCTTAGATATGCCACCTAAAGCATAACCAATAAAAGAAAAAAATAGATAAATTGGGCTTCATCAGAATTAAATTAATTTGTGCTTTAAAATTAAAATATTTGTGCTTCAAAGAACGCTACCGAGGAACTGAAAAGACAATTTGTAGAATGAGAGAACATATTTACACATTATGTATTTGATAAACACTTTGGCAGTTTCTCAAAAAGTTAAACAAAGAATTACCATTTAGCCAAGCAATTCCACTCCTACATATCCAAGAGAATTGAAAACATGTCTACAAAGAAGTTTGTACGTGAACGTCCATAGCAGCATTATTCTAAAAGCCTACAACTAGAAACAGTCCAAATGTCCATCAACTGATGAATGGATAAACAAGATGTATATTCATACAATGAAATACTATTCAATCATGAAAAGGAATGAGGTACCGATACATGCTACAACATAAATGAATCTTGAAAATATTAAGCTCAGTGAAAACAGCTAGATTCAAAAGGCAACATAGTGTATGATTCCATTTTTATGAAATATCCAGAATGAGCAAAACAATTGAGACAGAAAGTATATTGGTGGTTGCCAGAGATTGGAAGGACAGGGGAGGGGAATTGGGAAATTACCATCAAGGGGTAGTGGGTTCCTTTTTAGGGTAATGAAAATAATCCAGAATTAGATAGTGGTGTGGATTTCACAATTCTGTGAATATACTGAAAACCACTGAATTGTACCACTAAATTGTATTTTAAGTATATATGAATATATACACACACATGCACACACACACACTCTTTTATTGTATGTCAATTATACTTCAAGAAGGCTGTTGGAAAAAATAAGTTTAAAGAAAAAATACATATTTGTATATAATATATACCTCTCTACAGACCACTTCTCACCTCTACCAGCACCACCATTCAAACCAAACTATCATCTCTGTGAAAACATTCCTCACTGATCATCCTGCTTCTAATCTTGTCCAACCCACTGTCCTTCCCAAGTCTCCATTGTCTATGCCAAAGCTGAGTCCTCTTTTGAAAATGTAATGAGATCATGTCATTCACCTGATCCCAGATCTTCTGCTGGCTTTCCATCACACTCAGAGAAGCATCTGACTTAGACGTATGGCTCCAACCAATTTCCCTTGGAAAAATGGTTCCATGGCCAATAAAATTTTGAAAGTCTCTTTGAAGACAGACTAGTTCACAGTGATATATCCTGTCCCTTTTGCCTCAACCACAAGAAGTCCTTGGATTTGAGAACAAAGGTAGTAGTGTAGGAGGGCTAGAAGGACCAAAGTCAGGCACCTACTCAGTGTAGCCAGTTCTGTGCTCTTCCTGTCTAAACTTCTTAGTAACATGTAGTTCAAATAATGGGCAAACTGGATCACAACACTCAAAAGAGCCTGACGCTCTCCTGCTCAGGCACATATCAAGTGTTTATTGAGAATCTCGCTCTGCTCTACTGAGTGCTGTCCTTGAGTATCTGACTCCCAGAGTTCAAGTCCACCTGAAGAAGTTGGTGTGCATTATTCATTTGACAGTCATTTGGTTTTCAAGGACCCACAACTGAAAAAACTATGGGAGGTTTTGTGGAGGAGACAAAGGGGCTCAGATAATTACCAGTGCGGGTGACTCATGAGAACAGGTTCACAGTCAGGAAAGGAAGAAGAGCTTCTGATTTGGATCGATGAAGAACACCTTGCTTCCTCTTACCTCGTCTCCCATCTCCTCCAGGCAACAACTTTGAACTTCTCTTCCTGGGGGTCCACTATGACTCTGCTGCCTCCAAGATGACCAGAAGGCAGTAGACTTCAGTACAACGGAGCCCCTGGGAGAGAAGCTAAAACTTCTCTTCTGGGGCTTGTTTATGTGTCATTTCCCTGTTTTCAGGAATGAGCAAGTCACCCAATCACGAGACCCAGCAAAACTGTAGGAAGCGCTGAGACGTTCAATTGTCTGTTTCAGATCGGGTACAGATCATGTTCCTCCATCTGCTAATTTTGAGCCTGGGAATGCAGCTTCATCAGACAGCAGGTAAGAATGGGCGAAAGGAGGGGGTCTGAGGAAGAGGAGTAAGCAGTTGCCCCCAGCTGAAGCCGATGATGAGAATGGGGTCCTCAGGCTGAAGTCTTTCTCTGAGAGGAACTGGGATTACTCTCTATTACGTGCACAGTAAAAAGAATGGTGCCCAGGTGGCCTGTGCTTGCCCATGTCCCTGTCTTACAGAAACAATAACCATCGGGCAGATGAGGAAACTGGAATTCAGAAAAGTTATTTAATTTACCCAAGATTATGTAGTTAATAGACGCCACAGGCAAGCTTTCTACACAACTAACGTCCTTTCTGCCTTACGGGGCAAGATGATGTTGATAAACAAGCATGGCAGGCAGCCCCTAATCTTCCCCCTTTGGAATGGGATTTTGGAATTAAGTTTGACTATAGACATATATTCAATGTTGATACTGGATGTTCACAAAACCAAAAAGTATTATGATGGAGTATGCTGAAGAATTAACCAAAAGATGAGGTGCCTGAGTGGCTCAGTTGTTAAGTGTCCACCTTCAGCTCAGGTCATGATCCCAGGGTCCTGAGATCGAGCGGTCTCTCCCTCTCTGTCAAATAAATAAATGATATCTTTTAAAAAAGAGAGAATTAACCAAAAGGAAAGTATAAACAAGCTGTATCTTGCTTTCTCCTCAAATTTAGAATTCTTCTCTGCTTTCCACTGTACATTATGCAGATGATATCCGCTCAAACAAATATTAATTACTTGTCTAAATTGGACTGCTTTCTCCTCAGGGGTATTTTTGGTTTTTGTAAGTCTGATCATTTCCCATCTCCCTAATTAAGGAGTTTTAACTTCCAAGGTTTCTCATAGAGGCTACCTGAGCGGCAAAATGTAACAAAAGGGTCTGAGGATGGATAAGAACGTTTATTTCTGGGGAAGGGAAGCAGTCCAGGATGAGGATTAAGAAGGACAATCTTTTTTTTTTTTTAAGATTTTATTTATTTATTAGAGAGAGAGAGAGCAAGAGAGGGAACACAGCAGCGGGAGTGGGAGAGGGAGAAGCAGGCTTCCCGCTGAGCAGGGAGCTCCACGTGGGGCTCGATCCCAGGACCCTGGGATCATGACCTGAGCCGAAGGAGACGCTTAACAACTGAGCCACTCAGGTGCCCCAAGAAGGACAATCTTAACTAGTATGTTTCCCAGGTGTTCTGTTTTTTTTTTTTAACGAGAAATACGCATTTATTTGTGTATTAAAAGAAGTATTATGCCCTTACTTGTCTATTAAAAGAAATATACAAAAATTATACTTGTATGATAAAAATATAAATTTTAAGATATAAGAATTATTTTCAAAAGAATGCTTTCAAAAGCATTTGAAGGCATCAGGCTATAGCATCAGGTGCCTGAGGACAGCCGCAGTTCTCAGGGTGACACCCTGATGGCCTCCTCCCCCTCACTGTGCTTGTTCACCCCTAAACTTCCTCTCTTTGAGAAAGAAAAAAAGATAATATGGACTGAATCAGTATAATTCTTTATTCCCTTCTCTATGTAAATTTCTATTTTTAAATTTTAAAAAGAATGCTTATAACAACATTGTTAATCCTTCCAAAAAAGAAGCCCAAAATAACCAAATCCACATTGATCAACAGGATAATGCATAAATTGTGGTATATGAACAGAATGGAAAAATATACAGCATTCAAATAAATTAATTGCAAAAATATGCAACTACATTTAAGAGTCTTAGTAACATAATATTGATTAAAAAATACAAAAAAAAATCAAACACGGAATACAACATATAGTACAATGTCCTTTTTATAAACAATATATACCTATAGCTATATATATTGCAATATACCTATATATATGTATAATATATGCATATAATGCATGTGATATGCATATCATAATGATATGATATAAGCAGTATATGTGTGTGTGTGTGTGTGTGTGTGTGTGTATATATATATGATAGAGCTAGAAAATAAGCCAGAGATTAATAAACACAATATTCAGGATGCTGATTACTTTTGGTGGAGGAAGTAGATGTATGTCATTATTAATGTTCTGGTTCTTGGGGTAGGTAATGGATTCGCAGGAGTTCATTTTCTTTGATTTGGTATCCTTTAAAATTTTTTTGTATTTAAACTTTTATGTTGTAAAAGATGCCACAGGCAGAGAAAACCACATGAAACAAGTGTAAACCATCATGTTGCCATAAGGTGAATGCTTGTAACCAGTCACCCATGTCAAGTGGTAGACCTGTACCAACCTTCCCTGAAAACATTCCCCTGCCCCAGTCCTACATAACCTCCACCCCATAACACTCTACTGTCTACCCTTTTCTCCATTAAAAAAAATTTCCTAAATATTATTAAAAGAAATATTAGTAAGCACTCAGCAAAATATGTTCTTTATTGTTTCTGAATCAGCAAATACGGATATCGCTCATTTTAAAGTGAATCTATATATTTCATTGGACATGCTGTAATTTATTTAACCAGTCCTTTATTGAGAGAAATTACAGTTATTTAAAAAACAATCGTTTCTTGCTAGATTAATGCTTGAAAAAAATGTGTTTCCTAAAGACTGTGATGAAGGCTGACTCTGAGTATGACCCACATAAAACATTCATCATGAACCCTTTCCTTACTTGCCTGTCTGTGGGTGCTCTGTTCTGTTGTCTATCGAACAGCTTAAAGTTTGAAGAGGAAAATTGGCAGAATACATTTTCATTTCATTGTTTAAACATTTATTTATTTTCAAATTGACATAAAGCAACATTTAGTCTTTTTAATAGAAACATCTACGAGTTTTTGGCAAACAGGTGATCATATAAACAACGCCACAGTCAAGATCTAGAACAATTCCACCACTTGCCAAGCAAACAAACACAAAACACTCCCCAACTCTTAAAGTGAGGTACCCACTGATCTATTCTCTGTCCTATAGTTCTAAATTTTCCAGATAATCACATAAATGGGATTATCTGCTACATACCTAGAGACGAGTTTTTTCTGGCTTCTTTCACTTAGCGTAAAGCAATTGAAGATTTTATTCATTCATTCATTCATTCATTAGAGAGAGAGAGAAAGCACAAGCAGGAAGCAGCAGGCAGAGGGAGAGGGAGGAGCAGGCTCCCCAGTAAGCAAGGAACCTGATGTGGGACTCAATCCCAGGACCTGGGATCATGACCTGAGCTGAAGGCAGATACTCCGACTGAGCCACCCACGCGCCCCATCATAACCCAACTGAGATTTACCCATGTTTTTATAGTATCAGGAGCTCATTCCTTTCTGTTGCTGAGTAGTATTCCCTTATATAGACCAAATTTTGCTTATTCATTCCCCAGCTGAGGGACTTTTGGGTTGTTTCCTGTTTTGGGCAATTATGAATCAAGTTACTGTAAGTGCTAATGTATAGATTTTAGTTAGAAAATACGTTTTCATTTCGCTTGGGTAAATACTTGGGAGTAGGATCGCTGGGTCATGTGGTAAGTATATACTTAATTTTATAAGAAACCAGCAAACCTCTCCATAGTAGCTGGACTTCTTTGCTCTCTCAGCAGCAAAGTACAAGCACTCCAGTTGTTGCATTCCTGGGAGCCCTTGGTATTGACATTTTTGTGTTTTATAAAGTCATTTTAATAGGTGTGTTGAAGTATCTCTTTGTGGCTTAATTTGCATTTTCCTAGTATGTCGTGATGATAAGCATATTTTCACACGGACATATCCATATGCCTTCTTTGGTAAAGTTTGTATTCAAACTATTTGACCATTTTTAATTGGTTTATTCATTTTCTTACTTAGTTTTAGAGTTCGTTGTATAATCCAGAAGCAAGTCCTTTAACAGATGTGTGATATGCAAGTATTTTCTCTCAGTCTGCGGCTCATCTTTTCATTCTCTTAACAGTGTCTTTTACACAGCAAAGATTTTAAGTTTGGTGGAATCCAGCTTATCTTTGTTTCTTACATAGACTATGCTTCTGGCATCCTGTCTGAGAACTCTGCAGAGAGTTCTCAAAGAAAATCTCAAAGATTTTCTCCTATGTTTTCTTCTAAACACTTTATAGGTGTACATTTTACATTTAGGGTTATGATCCATCTTGAGTTACTTGTCACAGAAGATATAAAGTATGGGTTGAAGGTAATTCTTTTTCTTTTCCGTGTGTGGATATCCAGTTTCTTCAGCCTCTTTTGTTGAAAAGACTATCCTTTCTTTATTGAATTTGCCAAACATCAATTGGTCATATTTGCATAGGTCTATTTCTGGACTCCATTCTGCAGTCTGTTCTTTGCGTGTACGTTTTCCCTCATAGCACACTCTTCTGTAATGTTGTAATTCTTTTTTTCTTATGTTTTTATTTCAAAACCTAAGGTCATCTTGTAACCCAGACACGGTTAAGGGGAAATATTCATTTCTGTATTTTGTCATGCCTTGGAGGAAAAGTAGCTCCAATTATTATTCCTTTTATTCATATTTTTCCTTCTTCCTTCATCCTCCAGGGAGGGATAAAAGCCAGGGAGTCACATGACCATGGTGACACTTGAGGTCACTCTGGGGTGGGGACCACACCTTGGGTCACTCCACTTAACCTATCTTCAGGCTCTGAAACTACTTCTTCAGATCCCTGAGGTATACAAAGCAGAACTATCAGGCTGCAGAAAGGATTTCTAAGAGATGACATGTCCCTATGCAGTATTCCTACAAAGAGGAGTAGATGAATCAGGAGCCCAGAGCAGGTTTCTATCCTAAACTAACAACTAGAGCTTTCTGAAGGCTGTGGGGTCAAGCAGACCCCACCTTTCAAGTTCATTAAGTACAGAGTCTGAAAAAACTTCAACTTCTGTTATTAAATGGAAAAAAAAGTATAAAATTAGCTTGAAGGGGAAGCTATCTTGGGAGGTAATGCAAATGATTTGTTTTATGTTTCTGGAGATGTGACAGGTGCTGACTCCTATAGATGCCTGATTGCAAATAAAAGACAATTTCCCTAAGAACTTTCAGAAAGGCTCCAGCATTC